ATATTTATAAATAATTTTATCTTCTTGATGATAGTTGTAGTATTTCTCTAAGTTTCAGCTCCGTACAGTAGAGCTGTCTTGACGTTCGTATTGAAGATTGTGCCTTTGATAGTAGTTCTGAGTCCCATATGTTCTTCAACTGTAAGAATGCTGTCCTTGGTTTGTCAATCTTCACCTTTACGTCTGCATCTGATGTTCCTTGTTCATCAATGATGCTTCCCAGGTATGTGAAGGATTTCACATCTTCCATAGATACAGACAAGATAGTATTCATAACGATACAAAGAAATATGCTACTTGTTACTGTTCGAATAACATTGCCTATTAAGTCAATGAATAAGAGGCCTTAACCAAAATTTAATCATAAACGTAATTTATTGTATGAGAGTTGCTATACTATCATTAGTATGGATCTAAGTTCGAACACGGTTTAAGCTAAAGATCATTTATTTTTCAGCTTGTTATATCTATGTCTATTTTGGGCGAAAAGGCGTAGGCACCTAAGCATTAAGTAAACAATTATTTCAATAACACGAACTCATTATAAAAAAGAAACTAATTTAGTTCGTAGGTGGGGGTATTACAGATAGCAACTTCAGTTGTTGTTTCGTTGTTATTTCATTATTTACCATTTTCACATGTTTCTAGTACAAGAATCTGATATAAAGTTAATCTTTTTTTGTTTTGAAATTCGGTCCATTAAAGATTATTCAAGGAGTCATATGGTAATTGAAAAATGAAAAACAAAGAACATCATATAAACTCGACGTTTTCATCATCACAGTAGATGGATTACCATATTGATCTTCAGTCATATATACATCCTTCTTAAAATTATTATTTAACTCCGCCCGGAGTCCCTCCGGGGGCTACTGCCAGTCCCAAGCCCGGATAAAGGAGGGGGGTTAGGGGTGGGGTTAGTGACCTCTTCCCGTAGAAAACTAACCCGTTAAAAAAGACGCTAACAAGAAAAAACTATTATTATTTAAAATTCTCAGTTCACTTAAAAATGGGCTGTTTGGTTCAACTCTTTTAATCTTGATAAACAATCGTTAACATGTGATGAATGTACTAATAGTGTGTTTCCAAGGTCCTTATTGATTACATTAGTGTATACTAATAAAGTTAATATTAGTCAATTAGTTAGTCAACTACAACTTGGGACCAAGCACATATGTGCATCGGTCCAAGTTGCCATACCTCATTAGCACAGCAAGATGAGCATCGGATCCATAGAGGTAGTTAACTCGATAGTGTAGTATATAAAAGAAAGATTTTATGTAGGGATATAGTACAGAAAGAAAGAATCAGTTGGTACAAAGAAAGATATGAAGCGATTTTAGTCTCATAATTTAAAGGAAGACCAAGAGTGTATACACCTACGCCATTGTGATTGGTTCTGAGCCATGTCACAAACAGTCTCCAACCATTGGTTACGATAGTCACGCGGACCCCAACCAAGTAGTATGTATCCACTAGCATGGCTCAGACTACAAGTTAGTGACTTTACACACTGGCGCCACGTCTTGGTTTGACCACCCCTTACTTTCTTTCAACTATCCCACACACTAGTCAGCATTGTGTGTCGTGGTAATCGGTGTCCAGGCATATGCAACATGTGGCCCAACCATCTCAATCAATGAAGAGTTAGAACCTCATTAACTGATTTATCACCATTCCCCGATACCCTATGTCTAACCTTATTATTACTTACTCGGTGATCCTAGCAGATACGAGCAATATTTCTACGGCATCTGTGGTCAAATACTAATAGCTTACGAATATCTCCTACTCTCGATGGCCACGTTTCGCAACCGTAAAGTAAAACAGAAGTTAATATAAACTCATTAATCGTTCTATTTTTGATCGATTAAAAAAATGATCTTGGACAAATTTTAGATTTTCTAATAAAAGTTTATAGAAAAAAACTGATGGGGGAAACGATAAAGAAGAATGTAAATGTCGGATTGACTCGCACCCCCTCTCCCTCTCTCCCCCCTCCCCCCCCAAAAAAAATACCCAGCACAATGAACTCACAATGTATTTATAGGAAATCACAATTTGTACATGACTAAATTATTTATAGTACAAAACGCAATCACTGACTTTAGTTTTTTGAATACTATGAAATATATCGGTGTGACAATAAGTTATGGAGTGACGCTAAATTGACCTTGAGAGTGTTCCCCTAGAAACCATAACCAAATGAGGATTATAAACTTATATGAGGAATTAAAATTATGATTTAAAGTTTATGGTTAAAGATAAGAAATTAGATTTAGGGGGGTTTTCATCATGAACTAACATCAACTATAATGCCATAACTCTATTTATCCAAATGTATGATTGAATTTGGCGCCAAAATCCGAGACTTTTTATTTTATATCTGATTGGTCCATTCATAAATTATAGTCTGGCCGATATATCAATAATCAATGTATTCAATGAATAGAAGCCTATAATTAGGGCAATATAAAAAGGTATGTACAATAATCTACGGGTTTTTTTTGTTTTGATTAGTTTCATTCATTTCCGATTCATTCGTTGATAAATAGGTATTTACATATAAGTAATTAGTGAGATCATGAAAGGCTATCAAGACTCAATATCTAAGTGGATGAAGCGAATGCTACTGAGTTCGAGTTCCAGAGTGAACATCAACTTGGAAATGCTGGTATATCCGGTTGACGAGTTTCAAATAGGACGAGACGCTCATCAAACTGGATTCCACTACTAGCCACTATCAATCCTTGTTTATTTAAGATTGTTATAAATTCTTACTCTTACCAAACAAAGATTATTAGTAATATGATGATAGATCGATGTGAATGTGTAATGAACGAGAACACAAGTGGGGGACAACTAAATGTATTTAAATACACTGTGTCTTACATATCAAATCAACCACGATGAAAGATAGTATTTGAATTAACAAAATAACATATCATCAAATATCCAATACTTTTCCACAAAAGAAACATAGAGAACTTCTTCAATATTCAATGACTTAACTGTTCATATGTATGTGTAATAATATAGACGGCGAGACTAATAACTAATGAACGAACCAATCAGGTCATAGGATAATAGATTTCGGAATGTCGGCATGAAATTCATTCATCCATTTAGCCAAATAAACTTTTGGCATTATAGCTGATATCAGTTCATGATGAAAAATCGTAAATCTAATTCGTAACCTTAACCATCAATTCCTCATTCTTCATACTTGTTTACAACCTTCATTTATCCGTAGTATATAAGTGGATAGTTTCAAAATCCTTTTAGCATCGTTTAAAGTTCATCCATAAATTATAGTTTCATCATAGAGACTATCTAACACTGATGTTGAAATGATCTTGTAACCTTGAAGTCACTTTCAACCAATCAATAGAAAGTTTTCATCTATCCAATGTATTTCACACTAACAATAATTAGATCTTTTAAAGTTTAGTAATATTTAAAAAGGTTACTATACTAGAACTTCATTAATGAAAGTGTGAATGTATTCATGTTATACATTTCTCTCTCTGTTTTTTTTCGTTTATTCTCATAACTATAAATAGTTTTTAAGCAAAGATGGATAGTGACTGGCAGTAGAATCCAAAACGCGCGTTTCCTTCTATTTGGGACTCGTCAGCTGGATGTACCTGCATCTCAGAGTTCGTTTTCACTCTGGGACTCTACTATCCGTCATTGCTTACAAAAAGCTTGTGAATTAAGGTAATATCGAGGCATGCACACAGTATACACATATGCCAATAACAGACTGATCAATTGCAGTCTTAAACTTCAATGGGAAGATACAAGCCAAACAATACCAAGTGAATATATATATATATATATATATATATATATATATATATATATATATATATATATATATATATATATATATATATATAAACATATTACCTTTTAAGAGAAATAGCATGTTATTATTTAATTATCAGAAGGGTTTTTTGTGGATATTATGGTAATTTTAATAGCTGAGATCATGAGTCAATTGAAGCTTGACCACCATGGAAAACCTGAAAGTACTGGATGGCCGTTTCGTCCTAGTATAGGACTCCTCAGTGGCAGCGCGCACCCACGATCCCACACCCCGCGTGACTCGAACCTGGGACTTATCAGTCTCGCATCAGGCGCCTAACGAACGAGACCATTGAGCCGGCCGGCATCCAACGGTGTTAATGTCTAACTTCAACCAATCCACGAAGTTGCGCCACCGTATACCATTGTCTTCAGTGAGTTGATATCTCACAACAGACGTGGCTGAACTCCACTGATAAAAGATTCTCACTAGAACTCCAGGAGTATCTACTTCCATGTTGAAGTTGATAATTGATTAGATAAAGGAATGATGATATTATCCTATGTAAAGTATTCTGTAACACAATTTGCTTGATAGTCATTGTTTCATATATTTAAGGAGGGTGGTTATTATACATACAATTTTCGCCATCGATACTAATACATCATACATTTATCATAAATGTTGTCTTCTTCTTATTGACAAAACTATAATTTATGAACAAAACCAATCAGTTTAGAGATACCTATTCGATTTTGATACGAGATTTATCCATTTATTTAAGCTAAAATATCATTTTGCGCTTATAGTTCATATCAGTTCATAATGTAAACTTTACATTTAAATACTAACCATAAACATCAATTATAAAACTGAATCGTATACCCTAGCACTCATTTATAATCATTATCATTCAGTCTTAGTTATTGTTAGATGGATACTATTGAAGTCATTTCATCATTACTCAAGATTATCTCATCAATTGAATTCCATATTAAACAGAGAGATAAAGCTATTCAACATAGAATTGTACTACTACTACTACTACGACGACGACGACGACGCCGACGACGACGACGCCGACGCCGACTACTACTACTACTGCTACCACTACTACCACTATTACTACTAGTAGTAGTAATAATATTAATAATAATAATAATAGTAATAACAATAATAGAATACTTACCACATGATAGAATAAAGAAATCATTTGTCACTATAGATGAAATAGATTAATGTAAAATAATGAATCCACTTAATCAATGTATACTACTTATTAATCATGTAAATAGTAGTAGTAAATAGACATTGTTATGATGATTATTCTATTTCTATAATGTTTATTCATTTATTCAAACAAACAAAAATCATAATCAATCAATGGAAGTCATGAATGAAATGTTCTTTTGTCAAAATGATCATTTCAATGATGATGATGATGATGATGACATTGCATAGTGATAAATGTTTGTCTTCTGAATGAATCAATTACCCAGATCATAATGAGTTCCTTTTAAATTTGCCCAAAATATGTTTGTATCTGTGGTGTATATGTGTATGTTTGTATATGCTTATCTATGTATGTATGTATGTGTGTGTCTGTGTCTGGTTGTATTTTCATGATCTTTATAGAACTCAAAAGTTTATATTAGATTTCTGCATAGTAACTATTCATTATTATTAAAAAGAAGATTGACTTCAATCCTTTTATTAGAAATATAATGGGTAATAATATCAATAAGGGGAATGTTAGTTTCTTATTCAATTCTATACTCAAAGTATCTTCTACTTAAACATTTGAGTATATATATATATATATATATTCACTGAGAGATAGATTCTATTTGAGACTATACACATGGATATACAGTTTCCATACAACCATACAGTTTTTGTATTTGGGTTGGTTTAAATTAACATTCAATGTTTGATTGGTTCATTCATTTTTATCTCAAATAAATCTTATTTTATTTTTCATTTCTCTTAAAAAAAAGAAAAGAAAAGAAAAAAAGAGAAAAGGAATAAACAATAATGTTTAATATCAGTAAGGATTAGTTGTGAATAGTTGAGTGGATAAATGTGGAAAATATGACGAGCGACCTCATTGGTGAGACAACTCTATATAGAAGATATATGGACGATATTCTAATTATATGTGATAATGATTTTGATGTTTACCAATTACTGGATAAATTCAATGGTGTTCAAGATGATATTGTGATGACACATGAATTAGAAAGTAATGGTCAATTAGCCTTTTTAGACATACTTTTAAGTCGAAAGAATGATGGCACTATTAGACGGTTCGTGTATAGGAAACCAACTTGGACGGGACAATAATTAAATTTCCATAGTTTCTGTCCATTGTAATACAAGAGAGGTCTAGTTAAGTGCCTCTTTAAGAGGACTCGAAGAATATGTACCTCTGACATGGTGGAAAAAGATGAAAAGTTACTGACTGACACTTTAATTGCAAATGGTTATTCACTCAAGTTTATTAATAGGTGCAAAAGTCAGTTAATGCCAAGACCTCTAATTTATTCAGTGCCGAAGAAAAAGGTTTATATCAATCTACCATATAGAGGCGAATCTAACAGTATAGTTTTAAGGCAGAGATTGAAAGCAGCCATCGAGAATACGTATTGTGCTGTTCAGTTGGTAGTGATTGAAAAGTTTAAGGCCATGATTCCTAATAGACCCAAACAATGCATTAATAATTACGTCACATCCCATTGTATTTACCAATTTACATGTTTGTGTGGACACACATACATAGGGAGGAGTAATCGAACAATGCAATCAAGGGTCAATGAACATGTGCCCAGATGGCTTCAAAATCAGTGTGTGTCAAATGATCCGATCAATGTAGGAGGTAGAAAACCAAGTTCATCAATAGCGAAACATATAATTGAAACGGGGCACAAAATTCACATTAATACAGCTTTTAGAATGTTGTATAGAAATGGTCAAGAACGAATTCTTAAGTTTATTGAAGGCTTAGCTATTCGTAAATTTAACCCCCCCCCCCGTTATATGTAAGAAAACAATTTATTGTAACCTTGAATTTACCTTGGTAATCCTTAAGTCTAGGATAACGCGACAATTTCTTATTCTTTCTCCCCCCTTTTGTTATTTTACTTGAACTTTTATATCATTGACCTTTATTAATTTTCATATAAAAAGTGCCTTGACAAGTATATGTGTATGACCAGATTGTTCGAAATGTATAGCGCAAATACATCACATTTTCATCAGATCAACTCTGTCTTTTCATTGTTCTATCGAAATTTATAAAATGAACTAATTACTTTAAATGAATTGAAGTATAGAGCATCATGGAAAATCTAGAAGTATTTAGATGGATATTTCATTGTATTGTGGGATGCGTCAGAAGTGCGCATCCACGATCTCGCTTTGTGAGACTTCAATCCAGGATTTATCAGTCTTGCACATGAGCGCTTAACCAACTAGACCATTGAGTCGACCGGGATCTAATAGTATTAATGTTTAACTTCAACTAATCCACGTAATTAAGCGATATATCCACTATTGTCTTTAGTGAATTACTATCTCACAACAGATTCGGTTGAACTCTATTGGTCATTGTGTCACACTAGAACTTCAAGAAATATCTCTTGAAGCCAGTCACTAGTAAGCATATATTGATTAGTATCAGAATGGATTTTTGTGGATATTATACTACTTTCAATAGTTGATATCATGAGTCAATTAAAGTTAGACTGAAAGAATTGAACGGTCATTTCAACCTACTGTGGGACTCCTTAAATGGGATCGTGAATGTGCATTGTTGAGGAGTTTCACAGTAGGACAAAACAGCTGACTAGTGCTTCAACGTCTTTCCATGTAGTCTATCTTCAATTGATTCGTCATCTCAACTATTGAAATAATGTTTAAGTTGATCTTCTATAGTTGAGTTAGATTTATTACGTTCATCACGATTATACTTTTTCTAAATTTTCTTTTTAAAAAAAGAATCAGGATTTTCCTAGATATTTTTCAATTTCAAAGATAATTTCTGTTTCAATTATTGGACATGATGATAGTTGAAATGATTGAGGATCAACAAGAATGAAATTGGAGATCATTTTGATTGTTGAACTCAATATCAGTAAGCATCTTTGATTCACTAGTGATGGAACTTCAAATCTCTTGAGATCAGGATAATCTGCTAATATAATAATAGTAATACTCGTTTCATTCATAGAACTACAACGATATCCGCATTCTACAATTGATTGATCACTGGGTGATGATCAATGTCATGCTTGTCTGGTCCTTATTAGTGCAGATCGAATGCTATCGATCATGTTGCAATGTGGCCACTAGTCTAGGTGACTGGACACTGCGGGCACTATGTATTGAGATTTACATGGTAGTTGGAGGTAGTCAACAAGAAACCCTGGACCCGGGTTTCGTGCTACTTGGCACTCGTTTACAAGGTGTACCTGTAATCTTGAGGGAATTGGTGCTCCCTGGCGGGTTCGGTCTCGTGTCACCAAGTTTCACAGTCAGAGATGTTACCACTGAGCTATCCGAGCATAGCATTCGGTCTGCACTAATAAGGACTAGACAAGCATGACATTGATCACCACCCAGTGATCAAACAATTGTGGTTACATCTCAGTCCTACAGGAGGTTAGTCACGGCACGGATAGCTCAGTGGTAACGTCTCTGACTGTGAAACTGGGTGACACGAGATCGAATCCGCCAGGGAGTACCAATTCCCTCAAGATTACAGGTACACCTTGCTGACGAGTGCCAAGTAGCACGAATTCCGGATCCAGGGTTTCCTGTTGACTACCTCTAACTTCCATCTAAATATCCGCATTCTATAAGGATCTAACTTGAATTTTTAATTAATGATAGAAGCTGCCATACATAATTATCCTTGATCAATTGTGATCAGTCTTTCTCCTATAACATTTAATTTATCAGTGAATATATTTCATGTATATATTCCTTAATAATCAATTAAATTTTCCTTACTGAATATTTTCTTACTTATTTACGCCTGTCATCCCCAATGAAGCATAGACCACCGACCAGCATTCCCCAACCCACTCTGTCCTCCGATTTCTTTCTAGTTCCATCCAATTCTTGTTCATTTCTCTCATGTCTATTTCCATTTCCCGGCGTAATGTGTTCTTTGGTATTCCTTTTTTCCTTTGGCTTTCAGGATTCCATGTGAGGGCTTGTCTTGTGATGCAGTTAGGCACTTTTCTCAATGTGTTTCCTATCCACTTCCAGCGCTTCTTCCTGATTTCTTCCTTTGCTAGAATCTGGTTTGTTCCTGATAGTGTCTGGCCAACGAATCCGAAGTATTTTGCGTAGACAATTGTTAATAAACACCTGTATCTTCTAGATGATAGCTTTCGTAGCTCCCCAAGTTTCAACCCCATACAGTAGAACTGTCTTGAAATTTATATTGAAAATCGTGACCTTCTTCAGTTGTAAATATGTTGCTCTTGCTTTGTCGATCCGCACCTTCACATCTGCATCAGATCCACCCTGTTCATCAATGATGCTGCCCAGATATGTAAAGGTTTTTACATCTTCCAAATCTTCTCCGTCAATGTTGATTGGATCGGTGCGTGCTGTGTCGTATCAGCGAATCTTGCTTTTCCCTTTGTGTATGTTGAGACCTACTGCTGCTACACTGGTCGTCTTCTCCTGCATTTGTTGTTGCGTGTGCGATAGAGGAGTCAGATCATCTGCGAAGTCTAGATCGTCCAACTGCATCGTAGATGTCCACTGTATCCCGTGCTTCCTTCAGATGTTGACGTCTTCATAATCCAGTCGATCACCTTAATAGTCATATATCTTTTCGAATAAGGGAAAAAGAGTGAAATTACAGTAATGTTCTATAAGATGCATAAGTAAAACCGATTGCGAAACATAATTAATGAATGAAAACTACTGGAAAACCATGTTTCTACGGGATGGGTTTATTAATCCATGACCAACGCCCGGGCATGAAACCGGCAGCAATGCTAGAGGTGGCTTCAGGTGAAGCTATAAGTGAGCTTTCATTATAAGAATGATTTTGAAAATATTTCACTATAGAATACCACAACTACAATTAACTTTCCGTTGATGACAGTCGAATGATCATAGTATTAAAATGAAGATTATACAGTGGTCTAGAGGTTAAGCATTCGCGTGCAAGACACGAGGTCCTGCGTGCGTAATCATGGGTACGCACTACTTAGAAGTTCAATACTATGAAGTAACGGCCGTCTAGTGCTTCCAGATCTTCGAAATTAATGATCTAACGTTGATAGGTTCATATTTTCAATGATTTGTACGAATTAAAACTGATAAATTAATTATTCATAGTTAAAACTCTAATTTAATAAAACATAAAATCAACCAAAACACCGAGTATGAGTCAATTTAGTTATAATGATGAATATTCACTAACAGCCATCACTTTATATCTATGATGTCAATGAAAATGCCAGAATAAATATATTGAGGATTTACTCTAATAGTACGATCTATAAGGCATGTTTCGTACTATTATGAACTCATCAGCTGGATGTGCCTACATCCTAGCATTTATTTCTTTGCTGAGGTTAGAATTCATAATCTTTTGTTTCAAAGACATAAAGCTCTCTCCCTTGAAGTACTCGTTACATACAGTTACTATCTTTTTCAATAGTTATGAACGTATAAGTAAAGACTTTCATTTTTCTTATAATTGATATTCAGGACTACAATACCATACAACTAAATGAAC